ACGTTATCTGGTTTTCCATATTTGATTTACCCATGATTTTTTTGATGTCTTGTTTGATTTATTTTCTAGTAGTGGCATCAATTTTGTTTTGAATTTGTAATTTACATTTTCTCAATACTTTTTTCATTGTTTATCTATGGATCCTTTGATATTTATTACTTTAATGGTCTTATTGAATTGGTACGAGATCTCACTTTTTGAGAAGAGATTCTTATCTTGTAGTGTGACTGTTAAAATCGTGTAATCACTTTCTGTTATATCTGATATATTCTTGTTTTCAAAGAGAATTATTGAAAATTGAGTCATACATATGGGACATCCACAAATAATCAATTTTACTTTGGTTTGTGGCATTTAGTCTAATAGGTGATTTATTTTTTTCTTCTCAAGTTACTTGTATATCAATAAAGTCTCTATCTTCAAGAAAAGTAAAAAGTAAAATTTCAGGTTTCCATGATGGTCTAAATATTACCTTGAATATTGATGTCCTATCTTTCATAGGATTATATGCTGCATTGAAGTCTCCTATTATGATTAGATAAAATCTTTTTTCTAGTTTTTCTTGAATTAGTTTCTTGACTTTATTTTGATACTCTTGACACTTTTTAATATTAATTAATCTTATTTTATTATTAATAATTATATATTAATTATTTAATTCTTGGTTAGATTATTTATTTACTGAATAGTAATAAATTTAGTTAGAAAAACTTTGATAAGTTATCATTAATTTATATATACTGTATATAATAATATATAAAATATATAAGATAATTAATATTATATTTAAGAATCTAGTAATTATCAAATGTGAAATTAATTTTTAATAAAATTTATATCTAATATTAATTATAATTTAAATAAAAAAATAAAAAATAAATTTTAAAAAATAAAATTATATTATATTTAATTTTTAGAATAATAAAATTATATATATTTTTTAATATCTAAAAAATAATTTAAATGAATTAAAAACAATAAAATTATTATAACTTTATTACTTTAATTATACTATATATTAAATTTTAATTATTTTTTATTTTTTATTTTTTAACTTGAAATTATATATCATAAAATATTTTTATTGAAATATTAAATAAATATACAATAAATTGCAAAATTATATATAATAATTAATTTATTTATTATAGTATATATTATCAATTAAAAAATTATAATATTCTAAAAACATAAAAAGCTTATTAAACTAGTTCAGACTAAACAAAATTAAGGTTTAACTAGATATTTTAAGTTAAATTTAAAAAAATATTATTATATTTTTTTAATCATATAATATTTGAATTTTAATTACTAAATCATTATTAATAGTTTATTATTATTAATTCTTTTAAAAAAAATTGAATTGTTAAAATATAACTAGAAAAAAAAAACAATTTAAAGTTTTTTTAAATAAAATTTTTTGAAAGAGATTTGTCAATTAAAATATTTTTTAACTTTATGCTATTTGAAAAATTTAATTATTTTTGAATAATAATATTTCAAGAAAAATAATTAAAATTTTTATTTTTTTATTAATATATAAATATAAATATTATAATTATAAAAGAAAATTTTATCTATTTAGAATAAAAACTTAAAAACCTTAGTTTTTCTATAATAAAGTCTTTTCATTACTTGAAAAACTTAATAAAAAATAGAATTTAACTATTTTTTTTTTACTTGTTATTTATTAATATCATGATTAATTGTTTTCTAAAAAATTTACTTGATTGAAAAAACAAAAATTTTCTTTCTTTGATTATTAATAATATTATCAAATCATATACAATAAATATAATATGCAAAAACTTATTTTTATCTCAAAAATTAACTTGTTTTGTACTGACTAATTATTCTTGATAAATATTGTATTAACAAAAAAGTCAAGATCAAATTGAAATAGATAAAATTTTTTAAAAAATCATAAAAATTAAAGCTTTAAAAAAATCAAGATAATTAATAAGAAAAAAAATAAACCCTTTTACAGTACCATAATAAATCTCCATAAAAATTTGTTTCAAAGGTAAAGAGATCTTTAAATATTTTACAGTTAATTATTTTTTCTTTAGAAATTTTCTTACCATTGATAGCAAAAATATTTGATTATCAAAAATCAAGTTTTTGATTAAAGAGGTTTGTAAACAAGAAAGAAGATGTAATAATTCTTGAAAATATTTTATAAGTTGTTTTTAGTAGTAAGACTTAATTGGTTAGGAAATTTAAAAACTTTTGGTAAACATCTTTTTGTGTGTTATCAGAGGATCAGCAGTTTTTTTTTGTTAAAGATAAGTTTACATTAAGGTCAAAAGAAATAATATGCATTTATTCGAGATATCTGAATTAAAAAAGTTAGAGTATCGTGTATTAACTTTACAAAACTAGGCTAGCCTTCTTAGAATAAGAAGGCTAGCAATTAAGAAATTGTGTCAAATTCTTTAAAATAAACTCATTGATTGTTAAACGAATTTCTCAAGATCTATCTGCAAACAAAGCGTACCAACCAAAGAGCAATGGTCTAACGATGAGAAACTGGCCCAAACGCATTATATCATCGAGTTAACCTAAAGCCCCAAGATTTTTTGCCAATCACCAGAAATAATTGACAGAAAATAAGAAAAGGCATAGGCTAAAACAAGTGTACCCCAAAGGTACGCCTGCTGTCAAACAAGTATAAATATGAGTAAACTGTATATGGCAAGACACGGGATGCCAGCCCAATATACCCACGAAAGATATAATCATAGGCAAATGGAAAGGACACAGTAACAAATGAATGAGAGCTGTTTACCGAAGCCTCCGGATTGTTTCTTCTCTTCGCCATTTCCAAAGTATAGTTTAGACCGACGTGATAATTATCCTCTGGTTATAATATATGCTTCTTTAGACCATGAGTTGTGGCGTACTCTGCCAACCGCTTGAAAAAATGTCTCGATAGATATGTCATTGATTTTGCGTTTTGTACAATGACTACGAGAAAGAATTCGTTTAAAACAGTGTCGACAATGTACTAGCGCGTGTGCACCGCAAAAATCTTTTTTCATCCCGTAACACAGGATATTTCTTCACGTGAATTAAAATTAAATATTGTATATTGTACAAGTACGGGGGGGTTAATATTATTTAGCAGAAAATTGGGATTCTAGTTGTTATAAATAAAAATTTATTGATTAATTAGCGAGGCCCTTAACAAAAATAGTCATTAAGCGGCTGCCTATAGCAGAGAAATAAATCTTTGACACATTAGCAGAAACGGTAGAAGCCACAGCAGAAATTTTTTAATTCGATGAATATGATGTAAAGTAAGATCCTGATCATTCCTTAGTGCGATTTCCATGCTGCAGGTTTCGAACAATAAAAAATTAACAGCCGATTTCTCTATAGTGTTAGAGCGATATGCGAATAAACGTGAGTTTCTCGCGATTATTACACGTGCAACCTCACCTCACCTCATAATCTATCCCAACATGGGATTTATATTTTTATCACACCGAAAAAAATTTTCACAAGTCACATTAACGATCGTCAACAATTTTATTGGTGGAGCTAGCTCCATATTTCGTAGCCAAGAAATTTCCCCTAAAAGGCATCTTACTTATAAATACTAGTAATAGTCAGAAGGGAAAATACTCTTTCAATTGTAAGCAAAAACAAAGGTTAGTATATCGTAAGCACCATTACCAATGACACGTTCAACTACACAATGTGTAATTACATGTTAGGGGCATAATGTAAGAAAAACACGCGGAATTTGATAAATTGCAAAATAGAATTACCGAAGCAATCGCCACAATGTTTCTTCGTGACATAAGACGAATGTAGGTATTCCAAACATCCCTCGTAATAATTGTTAACTTTGCTTGTGGCGCAGACGAAATTAGAATTAGCCATAGAATGTGGATAAAGAACATCGGAATGTAGTAATTCTTACGGGAAAACAACTATTCCAGGAAGAGTTGACGGATCTTGTATTAATATGGTATTATTACATTTCGAACAACGAATTTTTATTTCACAAGTTTAGCATAGTATGAAAATTTGAAATTATCTTAATTTTTATGTTAAAATATTTATGATTAATTTTTATTTTTTAAATATACAGTAACTCTATTACAGTATATAAACTATAAAGTTATTAACATACTCGTAAGAAGATTTTTTTTTTTTTAATAAAACAGTGCTTATTAATTAATTATTGAATTCGTCTTAATATATAAAAGAGATAAATGAGATGCAAATTTATTATTATTATTATTATTATTATTATGATAATAAATCAAGGAACGAAAGGATTAAAATCATTCGATAAAATTTTATTTATCGACCGTATAATCTTTTTTTTCCTTAATCATGGCTTTTCCTTTCTACCGCAGAATAATAAGCCTTTAAAAAAAATTATACTTATCATACATTTTATTAAAAAAAAAATTTTTTTTTAATGTAATGAATCCTAGTGCGAATAGGTATCACATAATATCACACACCCGTATATCCATGTGATCGCAAACTATAAAAAAATTTTTTTTTTTTTTTTATGGAAGACGGATCAGGCAATGGCGAGCTTAAAGCATAGACACCAAGTTACAGAAAGTGTTGCTCCCGAACCAGTGGAGATACTTGACGAGCAAGGTATTTCATAGTCTTTCTCGAGTTCATTCTGGTTCTTCTCCTTGAGATTTTCACGCTTTCCACCTTTACTCAAACATTACACATTACGAATCCAAGAACAAGAAGAAGTTATAGAGGATCTTCGCGTACAAAATGATCGAGCTAATAATTTTTTCAAGGTTTTTGGCTCTCTTCCGGTCACCCCGATGATTCTTATTCGATTCGATTAACACTAATCTTAACTGAAAAATGAAAATCCATAGAAAGCATTGTCGCTTTTATCTTTGTCAGTGATGATATTGTAAGTGGTTGCGGAAACTTTGATCAAAAATGCAATTTCAAGCAGTTAACTTTCAACCTTTCAAAATAGATATCTCCTGTTCCTGTACGAAATAATGGAAACGTTGGACACGCCTTCTATACCTCTGCCAACCACTGAAAAAATTTTATCGCAAAACCCACATCCATTGGTGTCAACCTTATGTTCAATTGGCGCACTTTTATTTTCAGTGTATATATTACAGGCGCAAAACGTTACCATCATTTATATTTACATTGAAGCTTTTCTTTCACTGATTCCTAATATATTGGCTATCAACGCCGAAAGAATGGAAAAACTATGGTGGGGCGTACCTCTCGGGATACTCATGTTGGATGCGATCTCACTGTTCCTAATCAAAGATTCAGAACAGGATATTCAAAGTCTGGAGAAATTAAAATATAAGTATAAAGGGGCCTAATTCTTGGTTTTTTTGGGGGGGGTAAAATGGGTTTCGGGATAAGGTACAAAAGCAAGGTAAGGATGTCGCTTTTTTTCTTTATTGTCCAATTTTCTCGGTCGTAATTAACGAATTTTGTTTTTTGGGAAATATGTAGCATACCGGTTTAAGATCTCTGGTTATTTGGTGTCCTCTGTCGATTTATAACATGCCGCCATACGTTGTCGTATGAATGATAAAATCTGGCAGCCATTCGAGGGTACGTCGGATTATTGGTAGGAAGCAATTATAAAGAACATGGAATTCGAACATTACCATTGTGTAATTAGCGGGACTTAACTATTTCACATTCTCTTTGTTATTTGAAAATCTGCTGAAACTGATTTTTAAGCATTCATGCGTTGAATGTCAAATCCGAGGATATAAAACATGTCGAATTTAAAATCGAACGTCGAGTGTGCGAATAATAATATACAGTATAAAGTTATTTTTTACTTAATTGGTAGCTAGCCAAGTTGCTATATGTAATAAGGTGATTTAAAAGTTTATTTAAAATTAGCATTCATATATTAAAAGTTTTGATGAACCAATGTTTTATATCTATATATTATTAATTTCATATCTTATTATGTTCTTAATTAATTTTTAAACTATCATAATGCAAAACAAAAAAAAAGAATATTTCTTTTTTAATAGATCATAATTGAAATAAATATATAAGTTTATATAGGACAATTATAAATCACTCTTTACAAAGATATTTTTTGAAATAAAACTTTTTAAAAAATGCAATAATTATATATTTAAAGAATAAAAAGATCAATAAATTTTTAAAGCTTTCCATATCTTAATTATTTTTTTCTTATGATTGTAATTTTAATAATATTAATTTCTTTTATTTATAATATAATTTACTATTAATAAACTTTTAAAAATAATAATTGATATTATATGCAGCCGAACCACACCACTTATATAATCACAATTATAATTCTTACATATAAAAAGTTTAATTAATTTCTGTAAGAAAAACAATATAAAAGTTGATGATTACGTTCGGTTACACCAATGGAAGTCAGAAAAATGTTACGTGCTGATGACGATTAACTAATTACCATTTCGAATATGTTAACATATAGTATAATGAATGGTCTTCGCATATTTCTTTTGAGCGCAATAAACAACGATACAATTAAAGTTTTGCATCGTCCATCGATTTTGGAAGTCGGGAATTGCTTGCATTCACGAGTTTAATATATATCAAGGTTTAGATTACGCAGAAAACGTGCTCTTTCTACAACACCGTTTGTTTTCTTTTTCTCGGACCGCTTCATTATTTGCATATCAACAACAATACGTCGTCATTCCGAAAACCATTTCATACAGTATATCTTACACGTCGTCAGCCTAAGAATCGGGTCGGAAGTCGGAATATAATATTGGAAATCTGAAGTCGGGAGGACGGTTATTTATTTGGAACGAATTCCTTAAAATGTGTAACTGGCTCTCGCGCCCACATCACGCAATTTCAATCGATAATCGCCTTTCCCGGATATAAGCAATGAGTGATGAATAAGGGTATGGCATCTTTTGTGTTCAGCCGAAGAATGGGTAAGGGGAACTAAGAATTGGAGGTTGGCAAGTAGAGAATGTGTCATAATGTCGAGATGTCTTTTAATCGAGTTAAAAAGGTAGTAATTTGCATGCTTGCATTTAGGAGAGGATCGATCAGCCTTAACGCCGGGGAGGTAACGGTCATAATTGTCACAGCTGTTTATATTAAGGAAAGCCTTGGTACGCCTTTTTTTTTTTTTTTTTTTTTTGAATCATTTTGGTCTATCACTCTAAAACGTATGATTGATTATAAAAATCCTCTCATTTCACCCATATACACAATTCGTTATTTTAATATCTACAATTGTGAAACTCTCTCCACCTCTCGTAATTATCACATTTTCACAAAACACAAAAGAATGACGATAATTATGTGATGCCTCATATTTATGCACACAGTACAATCAAACACTTGTTTCCTTGGTATAAAAATAACTCATGTATAAAAAAAAAAAAAAGAGTGAGAGAACCCTATTATATTAAACTATTTACTTGCTCTATTATAATATGTGGTACTCTTAAACTATACTAACTGTACTACACCTATTTTTATATAAACACATTTTTTTTTTTTTGTTATATGTGACACCCGACATCAAAACCATTTGCTTGTAGTTCAACCTCCCTTTTTTTATGCAAAAATTTACTCATCGTCATCAAACAAATTTTGTTTAAAATCCCCCTTCACATTTTTCAGATTCCTCCTCCCCTTTTTTCATCATTTCTCAATTGCTTTACTCTTTACCACAATATTTTTGTCCGTTCGTGTGGCACTTCGGATCAAAAAAAAAAACAAAACAAAACCAAAGATAACATTAATCTTTTTATTTGCAAAGAATTCTTTTAAATTATCATTCCACGCTGGAGGGAATAAAAGTATATCCTTTCCCATCGGTTCGCCTCACTCTAAAAAACTTTTTTCTAATCAAACAACCGCTACTTTCAAATATACCGTCGCCTATATATCTAGTAACACCGACCAACTTAGTTTGCGAGAGAATAATACACCTCGACACTGACCACACCCGGGCATCCATCTTAAACTGAGGATACCTTCCAACATACTACGGCGCTAAAGGATTTCCTCAACTTTTCGCTCATATTGTACGTTCCTCTTAAATACCACTTCCCTTTTTTTTTTTTCCTCTACCGCTCGCATTTTAAAGAAAAAAAAAAAAAGTCAACCAACAAACCAAACCAAATTAATATTGACGCCGGTCTCTTCTTGTGTCTCTCTCACACCTACCTTTTTCTTATAAATATCATGTCCGGTCGTTTTTCATCACCTTTCTACTTTCCAGATCATCTTGCTTTTATATAATAATAAACAAACAAACATTAAAATATTAGCATCGTCACAATTCCTTCTTGCATTTGTTACCATAAAAAAGACATTTTCATTTCATATATAAAATAATACATAAAAAAAGACAATGAATAGCTACATATCGTCAGTACCATCAAAACCCACGCTCTCTGCTCCAGTGGTGCAGAGCAGGCTCGAACACCACCATTCACAACAACTAAAGCCATCGAAACCGGAAGCAAGGCAACAGCAACAACATCAAAGGTCGAAGTCCATAAAAGGGAAGCGTGTCAATTCTCATAACCGACCAAAGGAAAATTTCTTACCTGAAGTCCCCGCCCCATCTCGATCTAAAAATAATCCAAGTTATGAAAATCTCGACTCGTTAAATAGGTTGAATAATGCCGACCCTTTGCATGCGGCAAATAATAATTTGGATGAATCTTCCGGTGCCGTCAGTAGTAATGAGTCTCACTTGTCGGGTTTTGCATTCGATAATAACAAACCGGTTTCACGAAAGTCCAACGAAAGACGATCTAGAAGACATCAATACAGTGACTCCGTCGATGAAGATCAATTCAGGAATGTTCCCACCGTTTCAATCTTGAGGAGACCACAGTCGGCTACAGATTTCGTGAAGACCTCCAATAGCGCCTCCTCTGCAAACGTGAACACCAAAATCTTCCTTGATACCACTCGTGAGGAACTCGAATTCCCTTTCGCCACGGTTGACGAACATTCCAAAGAACGCCGACGTTCCGATGTCACTTCATCCAAGGTCAAGCGTATCCAACGACGCAAGGATGTTAAGTCGGTGACCGAAGCTTTGCAAGTCGTCGAATCTGAAGCTTTGCCAAGTTTCAGTCCTCCCAGGTCTCACACCCAGAAAGATTCTAACGAGGAATCTGATGTAAATAGTATTCTAAACCCCCGTCTGAAGTCTGCTTCTAATTCTCCAAAGACCGAATCTGATTGCTTGTCGGAACATTCACAAGCGAACAACGCCCTGGTTTTCCCCCCTCTAAATTATTCTAATGCAATTATTGCCCTTGAAGAGGAGATGAGTAGTAAACAGGATGACCTCGAACCGTCCCACATTAAGAGGTAGATTATCTTTCGCTTATTTATTTACTTGTTTGTTCTTTCGAAGTTTTCAATCCTAATGTGTTTTTCCCTTTCAAGTTCATTCGACAGACCTCTGGCAAAAGGCTACAAGAGGCGCTCGGATGTTTACCCTCCGGCCACTGCCTCTGTCATTCCGGAAAATTTCGTTCGTCGTGCGTCTAGCGCCTCCGTCGAACTGCAAAGCCATTTGGCTCCCTTTGCAAACCATGATGCTATGAATGAACTCCAGTCATCCGAGCATTTGTTTTCCACTACTCCACCGTCATCTCGTAGATTGTCTAGTTCACCCAACAGACTCATGTCATCTAAACTCTATGCCGGGCCGACCTTTCATAATTCCCCTGCTCCCAGTGATTTACCCTTACCCTCTTTCATAGGCAAATCTTCCAGCAAGGAATCTAGCCCCGCGATGTCGAACGCTTCTTTGAGTGTTGCCGTACCTTCAAGAGCTTCCTCTCCATCTTTATCCTCGGGCAACTCTTCCGATGATGACATGTTTGTTATGGATGAATTCGAGTCGAGCGATGGTAAACATTCTCGAGAACCCACCGTCCTAAGAAAACAGAGATCTCGCGAGCTTCTTCGCATGTTGTCCCCTAATTCCAGTCAACAAAATTCTGCTGCAGCCTACATGGTTCCTGAACGTATGGCGACTTCCCACAATCCCATGCAAGTCTATCCTGCGATCAACGGATTGTCGTTGACTGAAATCTCTGAAAACTTGAGGATTTTGCTGAAGATTCACGGGCAATAAAAAAAAAAAAAGTGAAGGCAGAGGGGTTGAGTTATCATTAGTATTTGTCTAGAGATCGAGAACATATTTTATTGTTCCTTTTACATGTTTAAGCGGCCTTACATTTGAAACTGAATTCTCTTGGAGTAATTGACGATGACCAATCTATCAAAAAGAAAAAAAAAGATAATTGCATATTCTTCTAGACGTCTGAAAATCTGATTATATTTTTCAAATTTTTTGCATTTCCCCTTTTTCTGCACTGTACATTTTTTGTTGCAAGTTTCTTTTGTTATAATATTTCATTTTTTTTTTTTTTTCTTTTTCTGTTTTACTACAACCCTAATAATGACCCACCATACATCGACTCTTCCCCATTTCTCTATTTGCATAGACATATTTCTTCTGATCTTTTCCTAATATGTATAGATCTTTTCCTTTTTTGTTAACACTTTGCTTAACGCAATATCTGAGTCCCAACCTGTAAAACCAAAAAGTGACATCTCATCGCCGCCTCGATCACCATTATCATCTTCCTCAATATTTCTAAACCTCCAGTGGACACTTATTTCATCCCGGTGATGAAGATACTTGCGTTGGTGATATGGACATTACATCCCTCCCATTATTCCTTTAATTTCGGTTTATATAAATTGGAAAAGATTCTATTTGTAAATATGTTTTGCGGTTCTCACCTTATTTCATATTTAATATTTTTTTGTCCCTTTAGATTTTTTTTTTATTATATTTTTTTCCCATTCTCTTTCGTTTGTACATTTTTGTATGAATTCCCTTCCGTTTTTTTTTCTCTTGTTTATTTCTCCCCCCTTTTTTTTTTTTGAAAAGTATGTAGCAGGTTTTGATTCTATTATTTGTTTTGAATTGAAACCCTTGTTATATAATTTTTGATTAGTAGTATTTAGACTGGGGACTTAATTTTTTATGGTGGGTTTTATTCTTTACTCAAAAGTAATCTTTCTTTTACAATCTTTTTCTTTAAAACAAAAGGAGAGGATTGATATGGCTTCTTGTAAGCCCTATCAATTTACGATTTGTTGGGGTGTAGTGTTTACCATTCTTTGGTAATAATTATTGTTTGCAAGACGAAGCGTCACAAACTTAATGATAATATAATTTTTTTTCTGGGGGATTTCTCTTATATTAAATGTGAATTTAGTCATTGAAGTTTATTCCCATTCGGGATACGTTCTTTTTGTTTGCACAAAGTTCCCCATTTGTACGAATTGTATTCACTCTTTGTTCCTGATTTTACATTTTTTTGTTTTGTCTTCATTCTTTACCAAGAAATCAAAATTTTTGGAAACTATTCTTTTTTAAATAGCAGCGACAGAGCAGGAAACCCAAGATAAATGAAAAATTTTTTATTTTCTTGGTACTCTTGTTTAGTTTTGAGGTGATTCTTTTTTAAAAAAAAAAAATCAAAAAAAAAAAATCAAAAAATCAAAAAAAAAAATTCGAAAAAAAAAAAAACCAAAATCAAAAAAAAAAAAAAAAAGATACTCGACTTTGTTATGACTGGGAATAAATGAACATCTCTAAATCCGACTTTTTTTCCTTATTCCTTTTAGTTTTTTTTTTTTTTTTTTTCCCTTTTTTTTTTTTTTTTTTTTTTTTTTTTGCCGAGTTGCTCGGTTCAATATACACAAAAGAAAAATGTAATTCTACTATAATTTATTTTCGTTCGCGAAAATGTTTTTTCCAATAAAAAAAATGGTGCATCTTAAAAAAATTGGTGCTTCTAGTTACACATGAAACAAAGTTCATCTAAGAATTGATTGATGGATAATCGAGCTGAGATCCCATTGTAAATTTGCGCACAAGTCCACGCACCATACACGCCACTGATTTCGAGATGATAGCGTATAGTATACAATAAAATATTTGACTAATCAAATTATTTATTTCTTTAAAAAAAAAATTTTTTTTTTTTTTATTTCGATGTTTTAACCTATGTATATACAGTATATTTTTAAGAATAAAATGAATCGGTTTACTTGAGAAACTTTCTCAAATCTTGGTAACATAATTTCCTTTTTCTTTAAGGTTTGATCTTGGTATATTACAAGAGAGAAATCTCAAATTTGTTATTTCACTCATATTGATTTGATAAATAAATGACAAGTAGTATGGAATAAAAATGTTTTTTTTTTTAGAATCCTTGTATTAATTAAAATTGATTTTTTTTTTTTTTTTTTAGAATCCTTGTATTAATTAAAATTTTCATACCATATTCTTTAAATATTGTGAAAAATATTTTATGCATTGATAAAAAAATTTTTTTTTTTGTTTTTTATAAATTTTATTAATGAATATATATTATATATATTGTATACAGTATATTTTAATTCTTTATTAAATTAGTTATATATATTTTATCAAATATTAAGTAAACTATATATATAATATGTATACTTATCTGACAAAAATATCTGATCATATTAAGATTGATATTCTAAAAATAAAACTTTATTTATGAATAATTTTAAATCTATGCATAAAAATATAATAAAAAATTTTTTCTATATCACAAACTTTCTTTATTCAAAAATAAAAAAAAAAATTAATATCCAAAACTTATAAACTTATTGATTTTGAATGTAATAAAATTATTGATCTGTGAAAAGGTGATCATAGTAAATGCAATATTAAAGATATTCTTAATTATTCAAAAACAACTATTCATGATATTATTAAAAAATATAAAACAAATCAATAAACTAATATTATTCCTAGATTTGATAGACTATCTAAATTGATAAAAAGAAATATTAAATATCTTATAAAAATATTAATAATAATCTTTGAATAAAATAACAGAAAAATTTAGTCAATTATTAATAATCTTAGTAGACTCTTATACTATTTAATATATTTTATATAATGAAGGATTTTATGATTGAGTTGAAAAAAAAAAATCTTTAGTAATTGAAGAAAATTGCAAAAAAAAAAAAAATAAAATGGTGTCATACTAGAAAAATTTAAATTTAGAATAAAATACAATAATCTGAAGAAATAAATATCTTCTTTTTTTTTTGTTTTAAAATAACTCTACATTATTGAATTTGATGATATCTATATAAAAAATATGATATAAATTGTCTAATTCCAACAATAAAATCAGAAAATAAAGGTATAATAATATGAAAATATTTTACAAAAAATAAGATTGGACCTTTGATTCAAGTTTCTAATAAAATTATAGAATCTATATTGTGATAAAAATAGCATCTACTACCATTGGATAGTTATTTTTAGTCATAATCTTCATTCTATTTCCATTTTTAT